TTGTTCAGAGTTTATATATATATATATAATAAATTAGTATATTGACTATTTACAGCTAAAATAATTAGGAATCGGCTGTACTGCAGAAAAAAAGGAGCAGTGGGTTTTACTGTTAGGGGTTTGAACTCCTAGCTACAGCTAGTTAATTAAATAGCCATGTATAGCTATTTATTAGCTATATATAGCTATATTTAGCTATAGCTAAATATATATATATATATACGTATGTAGATAGATATGCATAGCCTAACTAAGTTAGCGCGCTCGCTTTAGTATACTTATATATGTGGTTCGTAAACTTATGGCCCCAGTTTACATGTGCTCCTTAGAACATGCGTAGTCAACCACAAACAATCAAATAAAGCAGATTATGTCAGATTGAAAGTCAAATTCAATTGTGAAGAAAAGATTAACAGAACCATTTTTTCGTGGATTACTCCTTTTCGTCCTACAGTCATCTGCACTCCCCGCTAGGGAGAAAGCGAAAGCTTCCGACTCACTAACGAGTTCGTTCAAATTGTTGTTTAGCAGATTTGAAGTTTATATATCGATTGTAAAACGTTCAGTAGCGTCGGTTGGATTCGAACCCGGGCATAGACGCCGCCTAAGCTTTGTAGGCGTGTGGCCTCATAGCTTAGCTGGTAAAGCATGAGCGTACAAAGCGTCAGCGGCGTCCATGCCTGGGCTTGAATCTCACTGAGGCTCCTAAACTTTTCACAATCGGCATACTAACCAGTTCGACAAACTAGCGAAACCATCACCAGCAAGATTGTTATTGCTGCAAGAAAATGATAAAGAGATTTTTCAATTTTTGAACTCAAATTCAAATTCGAATTTTCATTACGGGAAAAACTCAAAAAGACTTCGCTAATCAAATCCCATAAGGTGGTTACACTTTGGTTCGGAACACGATTCCCAAGAACACAGTTAGTCCATGTACCTAAAAGAATAATGTAATGTTTGTGACGAGCACAGGAGAATATATTATGTAGTTGGGTGTTAAAACCTAATGTTTGCAATGGCATCATCAAGCGGACGCTTGAAATATACTAATGTTGAGACACAGACCACGTGAGATGGTAGAGAGTTCCATGTGCTGCACACTCGGACTGCAAACGAATGGCGTCTGCATTCGAGACGGATCGTTTGGAGTGCCAACGTCGGTGGATGCCTTCTGAGATGAACACTGGTTGATAGAACCAAAATAGATTTACATGGATGGTTGGGCTGTTGGAAAACCTGATACAGCACGATTTGACTAATTTGAGACGAGTATAGCTTCAGTAGCTGTAATCGTTCTCCATAGGTCTTGGAATGTAGACCTCTGACCATCTTCGTAGCCATTCTTTGTGGATGTTCAAGTGTCTTCCTACCTTACTGCAACCATGTGTTTCAGGCTCGAATTGGGTACTTGATGTAAGGATGGATATATATGGCTAACAAACGTGGAAACAAAGCCGGCTCAAACTATCCAAAACACCTTTGAACAGTCCAATCCGTTTTACCGCCATGGACGATACCCGAGAACAGTTTGCGGAGCAACTCAAGTCTGCGCGAATTACTACTCCAAGATTCTTCTCGGATGGAGCATGAGACAGAGTTTCGTATCCGAAAGTGTGAGAAAAATGGCCCTAGTGAGGTAGTGATAAAACTTTACATTTGGTAACGTTGAATTGAAGTGGCCACTTCACAAGCACTGATGATGCCACCTCGGCTGGTGATGAAACGTTTGCAAACAAATTGTCAAGCTCGGCGAACAGGCGAAATGGAATTCAGTTCACCCGAGCTACGAGAACCGATTTTCAATATTTTGCCATCAGTCACCAGTGTTAAATTCGAAATAGGTGTTTAGACTCGCCAAAACTATCATTAAGCGTATCCCAATGACTCCAGTCAAAAGACAATTGCAGACATTACAGGTCTTTATGGTAGTGCCAGCCAAACTTTTCTTGAAAAAGGGAGAAAAGTGTAGTTTATATCAGAGTCTAATTATTTGTCCGGAATCGCGGTAACGAGGCCGCCGATAGACAGGTCGTCCCAACTAATTTGCAGTTCTCTGTTCGTGTCCCTAAAGACTATTTATTCAGGACCCTGGAGAAAACGCCGACAGGTTCTCACGGTGGCGGCTGATTTCAGTCCATTTCAAACACAAACTGCTGGAATTTTCAGAGGAAGTTCGGTTTGCCCCTGACAGCAGGTTTAGTAAACCTAGGGAATCCAGCGATCAATATTTGAAAATCCACAGGGATATCAGGCATTGAACTCGTAATTCAGTAAACGAATGTGCGGGCTTTGAGACCCGTGAATTTGATATTCGACGTTGAGTTGACCAACTTCAGTCCACGTGAATCGACAAGTAATTCGTCGTACAGACAGCAATTGATAATCAGTATTCTAGCGGAAAACTGCAAGAATGAACGTCCACGGACACCGTCGTTGCGCTCCCAGACTGACCGCTATTTGCCTTGTTTCAAAGGTATAAATAGGAGTACCATTTACAGCGCACAATCAAAGCGTTGTGGCACGTGGCCTGTGACTACCAATAGGAGAGAGGTAAACTTACGCTCATGTATATACGAAGAACCCAGCGTTCGTACTACGGTCACGTACCAAAAAGGACGGCCAACATAGAGAGGCTGGTTGGCGAGTACGGCCACTTTTACTCGCCGGCTTGTTCATTTCCGGGTGCGTAAGTGCAATGTTTCCAGCTTGGTCCATATCTTCAATGGGACCAGCAGTAACCCTAGGTGGAATCATCAGGGGCTTTGGGTAGTTTGCGCGGGGATTGTTTTGGCAAAAGTGGTCGAACCGTGCTACCCGTTGGAGCCTAGACTTAGCTCTTTAACGGTTCAAGTTGGGCATCTCGACTGTGTTCATGAAGGACAAGCCTTAATGAAGCATTTTGGTTTTGGTTTTGAAAGCTTATCAGAATGCCAAACCCTATTCTCCCTATACTGTAGCAATTTCGTGACAAAAGAGAAAGTTATCCTAAACATCGATATGTGCAAGTATTTTGTCGGCAATCGAGGTAGCCGACTTCCAGCAAAACCGGTACCGTCGACCAGATCTGACTTCATAAAGACTCAAGCCACGGTGGTCTGACCTTGTCACAGTGGGTGTTTGCTAGTCCGGCCAACTTGTGTAGACGTGGATTATGCCTACCTGGCGTCGTATCAACAATTGCGTGAGAAACCAGCAGCTGACGCAAATTTTCCGCGCCTCAACAGTATGGATGTACTTTGAAATTTAGCTGCGCAAATTGTGCCATAAATTGCATTTCCTAGGAAACAAACCAAACCAAGGTTTTGCAAGGTGTGAAATATGCCGGCTTAAATGAGTAGCTAGTAGATTCAGTTCCCCGTTATATACGGGGTTAGGTTCCTTGCTCATTATTTAGTTGTGATAGCTGAAATATATCATTCAGCGAAATGAACCAGGAAAATAAAGTACAAATCACTGTAGACGTGACTCACCAAGATTAGATTTTTGGCTGATTATTGAAGCTGTTCAACGTAATGGCTAGTAGACGAGACTTATCGCGGTCATCGAATGCGCGATAACTCCTAGTGTTTCGACAGCTCAATACGAGCTCACGCAAAAGCGATCTTGCTCCATCACTCTGCTTCTTGTTCCAGATAAATGGACCAGAACATTCGACGAAGGGGTGCGGTGGATGTTATTTATCTGGACCTCTCAAAAGCATTTGATCGGGTAAATCACCTAATTTTGTCATATAAGCTCCACAACTACGACATCCAAGATTTTGTGTTTAATAGGATTAGAGAATTTCGCTACATTTTGCAGCGAATTTAAATTGTTCCAGGGTACATTACGGTTACCGAACACCTTTCCCGATTTTGAATAAAGCTCTTCATTCGACCAAAACATCGGAATCATACTGATTGGAAATGTTTGCTGCACCTTCGCATATATTCGAGTTATGAATGATAAACACGGAACCAGTTTTCAGTGCAAACGACTGAAGGGACTCGAAGACTTTTACTGTGCTGTGAAAGGGTGAGAAGTTGATTTACTTTCGTTGTCTTCGAAGACGATTCATGAATTAACATGCTTCGGTATTGTTTTACTCAGGGAGATCATCAACAGAGAGTACGGGGTTATTTTATGTGCCTGGACACTGAAAATCAATGATGACTATCAATAGCCAGTGTCTTCAATGTTGGTAATTACTTTTGTTTTACCTTTTGTAGTGTTTATTTTGCTCTAAGCCCTTTGCCAGATATTGTTTGAAAAAATAGTAGAAAATCCATTCACTCTGGAACATAAATTATAATTATGGAAACTTAAAGTTAAATCCGTATAGATTTGTTCATTCTTCCATATTCAGTTCAGTGCATCTTGGTCGTTTTTCAAATTAAACTTCTAGCGTGTTGGTTACATGGAAGCCCAAAAGTTGTTTATACCTTTTNGATTTGCAATATTATCGAGTATGCAATTACACTTCATTTGATACGGCAGGTGAAAATTTTGATAAAGCAAAAAGTCGTACACAATACTACAGTCTTGACATAGTCGTATCAGACTCACAAATGGAGAGAGAATACTCACAAAAGCATTCTTTACAGTCAGCGTCAGACTCCACGCTGGATCGCCGGAAATGCTTTTATGCAAGTCCTCAAATACTGGCGCGTGATATGTCAAAAATTGTCAATAGGAAGATTTTCAGGTAACACTTGGTTTTTGGGCATAACTAGTATTGCTTATTGCATCTAAAAGTGATGTTCACTTTATCGTTGGTCACGAGCGCGAAAAGATCTGGGGGCACAAATGTATTCTATCAGCAAGATGCGGCATGTTTCGACAATTATTTTTCAGTGATCCAAATCAATCTTCATTTGATCTATACTCCGTCAAGCCCTTACCGTTTTTACTGCTTATTTACTTNAACTCCATCTCATTCGAGCGGCTGAACATATATGAGGTGGGATACTGGTGAGCTAGCACGAATCATTTGTGTTTGGATTCAGGTGTTCGATTTAATGCTATTGGCAGAAGAATACAAATGTTTAGAACTGGCCAAGGTGAGTTACCTGTGCTTCAGGGCCATTTTATCTACTAATTTGTGGTAATTTATGCGGAAGAATGATTTGCTGTTTCACGAGGCTACAGGCCACAGAGCAAAAGTTGTCCAATTTTAGTTGTTCTTTTCGCATTCATTATCGGACTAAACCTTTTAGTGTGAAGAGCTTCTGTTTCACTGAAGCGTGTTTCCTATTTCCCTTTTCGTATTCTATTTGGAGTGCTGTACATGCGAGGAAGTGATAATGGTTTGCATTTTAATATGAAGGTATGAGATTTTACCCCTAACACTGCATGCAACGAAAACAATGCCTTGAAAAAACGTAGCGATTAGTGTACAGCAGCCCAAATTCAAAAATCGATTTTTTTCGAAACCAACAGGTGCTTTGATAAACAGGATGGGTGAATAAAGTAGGCGCTATATGAAGCGATAACTGCGCGGTTTACTTTCCAGATTAGGGCTGTGGATAAACCTTCGTGTTCCTCCATGCGTTCCTCAGCCAAGGTAAGGGATACAGGAGTTTAAAATTCGTATAATTTCGTCTTTACAAACCTTAACCGTGTGTTTTCGTGCAGCAGTTACCCTAACCAAACCAAGCACATCGAGATTCATGATTTATTATTTATTAAGACAGTTGGATGGTTTTCAGATATTTTTCGTCTACTCCAGTGCGCTAATCACGAACCTCTCCGCTTTTATAGGTCAAATCTTAGAGTTGGACCAAATACTGCCTTCAAATTATAACCATTTCTTTTATAACGCCATCTTCAGTGGGAAGTCGGAACTTGACAACACTGCTCATTTGTACGAGATCGATTGGTATATTTTCTCTATGGGGCAGAATTTATGCAATGAATTCCGTTGTGTAAAGAGTGAACGAAGCGTAAACTGAAAAACGGAGACACAGCTGTTTCGACCAGGTCGCATCTCATCAGCGGTGCGAATCCGTCGACCCAGCTAGGACTCATTTGCTCCTAACAGGACTTAATTCACTATAAAATCGAATCAAATTCTCTATTACTCTGATGTAAGCAGAATATTTTTGATTAGTTTGAGCACAAAGAATTGTTTGAGTGAATACAACACAACACAATTACAATGGTTTCTTAAGTTAGTGCTGATTTGATTGTTATGTATATATATCGCGATGTGAAGAAGCATGAGGACTACTCCACAAAACAATGAGGATAAAAACCAGAAGGAATGGGGCTTAACCAGATATAGTGAGTGAAAACAAGAGCGACGACATTTTTTGCTTCACCGTACACTTTTTGATACCTTCTGTTCCGTTGTAGTAGACAGGAGATTTCAATAGGCAGACGACACAGCATTCACGCCTCTGACTTCTATTCTGAGCAATGTTTCTTAGCGTCTTTAGCTAACAACAATCCTGATGCCTAGAACCTCAACTCAGAGGGTGAGCTGCACCAAGCAAAGCCAACACTGAGTATAACTTCATCATACCATTGGGCTGTCTTTTTCTATCCGCCGCAACGATTCTTCCAGCCTTTCCCAATACGCGCGATGAGAACACGGGAACGTAGACGATGAGCAGGTGTACGCAAAAGGTGACCAATCCATCGAAGGCGCTGTGGAGCAAAAACGTCGTTTAAAGGACTACCATCCGCAATCAACACACGACGATGAGTCTCAATTTCTCACCTGATGTTCCCATCAGATACGGGTAATGCCTCGGAGATATCAGTGGTGGAATATAGAAAGTCGATTAGAATCCTCACGCGGATGGGCCAGGTCTCACAGTCGTAAAGCAGAACACTGCACTACGCGGCAATGTATACCCTTCTCTTAAGGGACAACCAGATGTCGTGTCAGTGCCACAGGTGTCGCGGGTTAGCAAAAGTTGCATTAATTTTCACTATTCGTGATGTGATCACCTTACAACTATCACCTCCAGCTGCGATTTAGCATCTGAGATACTTAAAGTTCTCGATTACATTCATCTGATAGTCAGAAAGGGCGAGTACTCACACAAGATCACGTGCTACGTAAAAAAGACAAAGGAACACACAGAAAGTACCAAAAAGTATACGGTGAAATACACTGTTATCCATTGTAGCTGCTAAACGTCGATATCAATATACACTCTATCCCTATACCCGTCCTGTTTTCCTTATCATTTTTGTGGCATTTGCATTATGTTTTCCGCAATCAGTTGGCGTATGCCAAATTCAAATTCGAATTTTCATTACGGGAAAAACTCAAAAAGACTTCGCTAATCAAATCCCATAAGGTGGTTACACTTTGGTTCGGAACACGATTCCCAAGAACACAGTTAGTCCATGTACCTAAAAGAATAATGTAATGTTTGTGACGAGCACAGGAGAATATATTATGTAGTTGGGTGTTAAAACCTAATGTTTGCAATGGCATCATCAAGCGGACGCTTGAAATATACTAATGTTGAGACACAGACCACGTGAGATGGTAGAGAGTTCCATGTGCTGCACACTCGGACTGCAAACGAATGGCGTCTGCATTCGAGACGGATCGTTTGGAGTGCCAACGTCGGTGGATGCCTTCTGAGATGAACACTGGTTGATAGAACCAAAATAGATTTACATGGATGGTTGGGCTGTTGGAAAACCTGATACAGCACGATTTGACTAATTTGAGACGAGTATAGCTTCAGTAGCTGTAATCGTTCTCCATAGGTCTTGGAATGTAGACCTCTGACCATCTTCGTAGCCATTCCATGCGGATGTTCGAGCACCTTTTAATCTCGCTGCAGCCTTATAGATATGTCTGTATTTGAATATATATGGATATTTGTAAATACATAATTACAGACTGCCTCATGTAGACTGACCTCGTCCATCGCACTCCTTTTTAGTTAACTAGGTTAGAAGTTAGACTCTTCGAACGCCTCCTCAGGTTTGTTTAGTTAACGCCACAAAAACTGACTAAAGATAATCAAGGCGTCATAGATCGATCACAGCCAGCCCACATTGTGTTTCTAAAGACCTTGATATTTGCCCTTGGCATTCCATGCCTCTGGCGATTCATGTACATTACACACGCTTTTACAATAAATTGTAACTAAATTTCCTCATTGACTTCACTTGTCTACGTTGGTTAAGGTGTTACGTACGCTACCGATGAGAGTATACAAAGAAATTCCTCCCGAATTGTTTGTTTTCTGACTTGATTGCTTAACTTCAGTAAATCGTTTAGACGTGTTTTTCCTTCTTTAATAGTTATAGCAAAAATCATCCCTAACAATGTTGTAAGGTTGCCTCCAGTGATCAATGACATTTCTGTTTCATGCTAGTTTGGAATAAGTCCAGGTGCACATTCATTCAGGTGTGACAGATTTGCATTCCGAGATTATCCAATCTTTAGACTTTCATTATATGATTACTCAGAAGTAGCATGCTCAAAATGTAAAACGTTTTCGGCATCTTTTACAAGGAGCCCCGAATTCAAGTGATATCTTTGCTAACCCCAGAAATCTGCATGAAACGTAAGCCATCCGACATAAATTAAAATAATGGCAACCATCTCTAGTTTGAAGGTAAATTGATTACCCGGATTCGCTGATGACGACTCCATGAAAGTTTGCGAGGCTTTTGCAAATAATGAAGTTTTTGTAGGTGAAAGTTATGGACTGGTGATTGATTGCGGATCAAAATGGCTGATCGTTGTGTGTCTAGGAATAATACACGAAGTCCAAGGAGTAAGATTATTTGGTTTGACAACGTGCGGACATATTCTGCAACCCTTCTCTAACGTACTTTCATTCGTCGTGTGAAAACTTCTCAATCAAACGAGTGAAACAGATCATTGTCCAGTCACTTTTTATGGTTTTGTTATGTGCACTCAGAAAATTAGATAGTGAAGTGCATGAAATGCATAACAGAAACGTTTGAAAATCTAACAGCATCAGCAGAGCAAAACCATAAGAAACAGTCGCCTTACAGGAAGAAAAATTGCGATTTTGGTGCTCAGGTCAACCAGTTCAGTCAAATTTGTAGAATCCTTAAAAAGCCCCAGTGCGGCACCGCCAACACTCAATCTCTAACTCGACGAAGCAAAGACAGTAACCGGTAATGCCAACGATCAAACATCTATGCAAAGATGAAGAAGATAATTGAAAATACTACCCTAATGGTTATTTGCACCAACGTACCAGAGCCCACAACCAATACACTGAGAGAGAAACAAGTAGAAGAGCTTGGTCGCTGGGCCCCAACGAGTATTGACATTCACCCAGTTGAAATTGTGCGTGCAGTTCATCGTTGCCTCATGCCAGGGAGCCACGAACGAATCGTATAACAATCGCAAACGAGATGGACCTGAAATATCTCTTCTCTCTAGTTACCTTCTCAAGAAAGGTTCAGTTAGGTCAAGAATACTTCTAGATAGACCCTCAAGGGGGTGCACTAACCCGACGAATGCATGGAAACCGGAGAAAAAGAAGGATAATTCCAACTCAAATGGACGATCCAGATGAATCCAGGTGTCAGCACAACAAATGCAAGGTATAGGGTTTTATTTGAGAACTAACTAATTGTACTCAGTCCTTACCACGGCAATCAGTCGTCTACCAATTTCACCGAACTACAACAGGAACGGCTCGAGGATAATAAAAGCAACCCTTGGAAAACAAGAAATCAGGAAATTTGAATTGCTTTCTTGGAAGGAGAATAGAAAATGGGATCCGCCAGAATAGGCCCTAAGTCTATCGCGTAATAGGATAACGGAAACCGATGCTAACTCGTCATCTTCTTTGACTAGTCAGGTTTTTATGACTGCATTCATCAAATGGCACCAGTGAAGCCAATTATACAGAAAAATAATGCAAGCCGGTCGCAGACTAGTCGGTAGAAATAACATCACATAAGCAGGTAAATTTATGTACCCATAATACCTTTCTTGTATATATATTATGAAAAAGGATACCACAACCAATTGTCAGAGGTAGTGCTTCATTGAAAAGCCAGTCGAGGCGATAGTGTTGCTATTGCTGAAACGTGACTGACC